GAAGGGGTACTGGAGCCTGAGGTTTCTTTCTTCGCAAATTTAAAACTTTTACAACCTCACAAACCTACCTTTCTGCAACTTTCACAAATTTTCTTATCCCTTTTGAAATAACCATCTTTAGAGTAACTTACTTTCAATCCTTGTCCTTTAAAATTGCATCTCCATGCCTTATGCCTCCTAGTATTAAAACAATTTCTTTCCAACTTAATTTGAATTTTTAATTTTTAAAACCTCACTTTCCAATGATAAAAAGTAAGCAACCAGTATTCCATAGATTGACTTTTATGAACACAGGTCATGACCTTTAGAAATATAGGTTCCTCTATTGGCAACCACACACTCCCTTTCAAGAAACACACCTCCAATAAAGCACAAGACATTTATCTACATCTCCAAATCCATTCCACAGCCTCTTCGTAAAAAAAACTAAAAAGCAGGTCTAGCGATGTATGTTTTGGTATTTCATGTTATTTCAAAATTCCTAGACATTGAATAACTTTTATCAGAATTCAGTAATTTAGAAAGGAATAGTTGCTCAGGTATATCTAAGGTTTTCTCCCTTTTGATAAGAATTATCTCCCCAAAATTTGTATTTTAAAAGATGACCTAAACAAGAGTTCTTGAAGAAGACCAAGTGTTTGCACTCCAAAAAGATAAGGAAAGAAAAGCAGGCTTCTCCTAGAAGGGCTTTGGTTTCATTAAGCAAAGGGGTAGAAACGCGGCTTGAGTTTAAAAATGCCACTTTTTCCTCTGCATTGAGATGCAGGCCCAATTTTCCCTAGGATTTAGCAGCTCCCCGGTCTCCAGGAGGAGAATATGGAGTGTTTTACAGTTCAGGAGGGGAGGGGTGAGATTTCCTCCCTCTCTGTACCCTTGTTTTCACTTAATGTGGGCATAGTGGAGCCAAGCCTAATTCCAAATGGGGGCTGAATGCAGGAGCTGGGTCAGGCAGGCAACGGAGCAGCGCCACCCCCGCCGGGCAATACTGATTACAAGAGCATGGTCTGAAGGGACTAGGGTGCTGCTCCACTGAGAACAAATCTGGGGGGTGGGAGGTGGTAGAGCGAGGCAAATTTGAATGAAACGCCATAGTTAGGAGAAAGAGTCCTAGAATTCCAGCTGAAGGTTAAAGTCTTGTCTCCTCTCAGTAACTAAACCTAAGGAGGGTCTTGAGACGGCAACAGTAAAGGTCGAGTTGGAGGATAATATTATAGTTAAGAGTTCTGTTCCCGGACCAGACTTCCTATTCACCCAGTTTGTGTTGAAGCCAGGTCACGTTGCAATAGAAAATCAAGCTCTTGGGCTTGAGGTCAGTATGTCCCAGAGCTTTCAAGTTCTTAAGTAGACAAGCCAATGGGGAGTCCCTAGGCAGGATCTATTGAGTATTGCCCATGGTGAGAACTATGAAAAAGAAAAGGGAAGGCTATCTCAGGGGTGAAAACAACCGAGGAGGGGGGAGGTTTGAGGAGGGCGTTCCCAACTCAAAAGACCTAGAGGTTTACAGCCAGAGCTGAGCATTGTTGAGCCTGAGAGCAAACCGAACACAAGGTTCTGCCTTAGAGCCAGGCGTCTCTGGGCCCTGAGAGCTGACCAAACCAGCAGGGAGATGGTTGGAAGCATCCCTATACTGGGGTTTATGACAAGGAGACAAGAGCCTAAGCTATCACTTTCGATAGGATATTTTCATCGCGAGATTCAGAGAGACTTACCTATGGCTGTCTGTGGAGGAGGAGGAAGCTGTCCACAAGAGTCCTAAGAGGTAGAGAAGGATTAGAATCCTCTCTCCGAGCCTCACAGAGACAGGGTTAGTGGGGTTAGCCTGGGTCGAGGTTCCACTGCCTATTGCTCCCCTAGTCACAAATCTCGGGAATCTGGAGGAGAGGAAGAAATAGAGAATGTTCCCGTACGGGCCACCAAAATGTTAGGGTGGTTGGTGAGGCGGACTGTGAAAGAATTCACAAAGAGAAGTTGTGGAGAACAAAGTTTGTATTCACTCCAGGAAAGGAGAGGGGCATGATGTGGGGACAAACACTAGCATTGAGGGGTGGAGCTTTGAGTTTTTATTGGATTATAATTGGATTAAAAAAGGTGGAGGGTTGCCCCTGGACAGTTGGGGCATTGTAACAGGGGGCTGCGGCCTGTTCCAGCGTTATCTTCTGCCTGTGGCTGTAGGGAGCTGTTAGCTCTGTTCTTGTCTTCCAGTAACTTCCAATCCTGGGTACAAGCTCGGAAGAGTAAACTGGCAGTCATGTTTAACAAGGTCATAGACCTGCTGGGCAAATGGTGCCACAGCAGCAAATGGAGCTGGCTTTGTCCTCTCTCTCACCTGGGAGGCACCACCAGGAGATGGTTGGGAACTTTTCTGCTCTGCTCTGGGCAGTGGTCCTATCTCTCCTAGACCACAGCCCTATTTGGAAGGGGTGGTCTGCACTCCCCAGCTCCTCCCTAACCCTAACTTAAAGGACGCCATTTCCTCCTTTTATCCCTCAGTCCTTAAAGTTGTAATGCGTTTCTGCAGTTGCTCAAGACTCTTGTTGGTTCCCTGAACCCTCACCATTCCTCTAGCCCCTTCACTAAGTCCTGAATTATCCACCCGCTCCCACCCAAGCTGGATTCTGTCTAATAGACCTTTACCCGAACACCTTCTAGATCACTTTACAATCTGCAGCCCTACCTGCAGTCCTGTGAATTGGCACTTCCCATTCTGTCCTTATTCTTCTGTCCTTATTCTTCTCCACAGCACACATTAGCTAACATAATATATATTTACTTATTTATTTTCCTTGGCGCCCCCACATCCTGGGATGGAAGGTTCAAAGATGCAGAGATATCTGTTTTGTTCACTATTGCATCTCCAGTGTTTGGCACATAGCAGGCAATTATTTGTTGAATGAATGAATGAATGAACGGTCGACAAGGGAGCTACAGAGAGGACCACAGTGTGGTCCCAGTTGCAGGCAAAAGAGCTGACTCTCAATTTCTCCTCTCCTCTCTCCGCCTCCGCCCGGAATGCTGAGCGCCCGGGAAGGAGGCGGAAATGAGTGCGCTCAACAGCCCTCCAGCCGAGTGTTTACTTAATTAGGGCCTGTATGCCTAGGCTCGTTTGTGTTTAACTGTCCGCCTAATGGCTTCATCTGGCTCCTGGCGAGCGAAGGGAACCTGTGAGGCGAGGATAGGCGAGGCCCCGGGGGTACATCTGGGACCTGTCCCGCCACGTTGTCCCTTGCGCGGGTATCTACCTGCCGCCCCCGCCGGGAAAGCGAGCCCTGAGGGTTAGCGAGGCGGAGACGAGGAGTTCCTCGAGCGGCCTCCGTGTTTTCCGGCGCTTTGTCTACCCCCAACCCCCACCTGCAGGGACCGCCGCCGCAGAACGCAGCGCTCCGCTGATATCAGACGCCAATTGCTCGCTATACCGTGAGCCGTGAAATTGAAGGATTACAGCGCTTCTCATTCTCGGAGTTGGGGGGAATGTAGGGGAGTTTTAGAGGAGAGAAACGGCTCGCGAGGCGGAGGAAGAGGACAAAATGAGCCGGATCCTAAAGCAGTGATTCCAGGAAACATTTGGGCACTTGCTCTGTGCCAGGTACTGAGTTTAGCGTTTTAAACGTGTTAATTTATTCCTCGTCTGTAATTATTAATTTATTTAATCCTAGTACTATAGAAGGCGGATGTCGTAAGAACCCCATTTCACGTATGCAGAACTGTGGCTCAGAAGAGTTAACTCACTTGCCTGAGGCCACAGCGCTGCTAATTTGTGCAACCCCTGCTGGAAGGCAGGCGGTGCGCCCCAGAGCCAATGCTCAGCTAGAGAGAGGACTCCCACGGTCGCAGCGCGCGAGTTCCTCTTTTAGCCGCAAGCCTGATGGTGGGAGGGACAAGGGGACCATCACGTTACTCCTCGAGGGCCAAAGAATCTATGGAGACTTCCGTTTCCTCAGACCCCTAAATCTGAGCAGGAGAGGAGGAAGGGAGAGGCCTCAGAGAACAAGAGGGTGGGGAGCAGGCGTATAGGGTGGAGCGACTGAGTCTCTGGACAGTTTCTGCGTGTGCCGGGAGAAGTACTGCAGGTGGCCTCGTGGCTCGCAGACTGGGGGAAGGAGAGCCGTGTCCAAGGAAGGCCCACTGTACGGCTGCTTTAGGCAGCAAGCAGTGTTCGCTTAGATTATATTCAGTATTTCAGACCAATAAAAAGAGCCGCGTTTTAAAAAGTGACTTTATTTGAGTTAAGGAAGTGTTATTTATGTTTTTTTATGGGTAAGGGAGGGCGTTGCTGGAGACTATGAGGCTAATAACCACCCCTTTACCTCGCGCCCTTTGGCGCCGCCACAGCTTCTGAACTCTGGGACCACCTCTCCCAGCCTCCATTTGTTCAGCTGTGCAATGGGTATTCTGCAAGTTACAGCAGATTTTGTTACGCGGGCCCGCGCCACTCACTGCCAGTTTTAAACCCTCCGAGTCCTCCGTGTCGGTTAGCGTGGGAGGCGAAGTAAGAGGCTGGGGCAGACCCCGCTTTAGCCGGGCGGAGGGCGAACACACCCGTCTCCATCAAAGCTGTAACAGCTCCTCGGGGAAGCATCAATGGGGCGCTTCGATGTTTCCAGTCAGGTTCGGATGCCGCTCCACTTTTTTCAGCTATAGCCGCAAGACCTAGAAACATCTTTCTTTGCTTGCTGCGGAGGCTGATGAGTGGGGTGGATATATTTTTTTCTCGAACCCAGAACCTTAGAGATGGCTGAGTCCCTGCCGAGAGCACCTCCCGAAAAGCCGGGAGAATGAAGGAGGGAGGACTCGAGGGGCTTCGAGTGCGCCAGGAGAGCGCAAGCCACCGCCCACCTGCGGAGGAGGCGGGACCTTGCGGCGCTGGACCAATCAGCACCTGCCTGCTCTCACCTGGCCTCCTCCCGGTGGCTGCCAGGAGCTGCGGTGCTCAAAGAGGCGCGGATTGCTTAGCGGAGCAGTATCCCGCTCTTGCGGCAGCATCTTCACCCCTCTCTCCCACAATGGGGCTCCCTAATGGGTCTCTTGCGTCCCTCCTATTCCGCCTCTTCCTCCTACTCCAGGTACCCTACTGCCTCGCCCTTGCTCCGGTTCGGACGCTCTCCGGAGGGCGGGCGGGGTCCGCATGCGGCGTTGGCGTCGGGGCGACAACGGGGCTGGGCTCCTTGAGGCCACGGTATCCTGGGGAGCCCAGTTAGGAAGCCGGAGATGGGCGTGCGGGACCGGGCACGCCTGTGACTCAGCCTCCCTTTTTTCCCCGCTCTTTCCTTAGGTGCAGGTTTGCCGGCTGCCTTGCGCGGCCTCCGAGCCTTGGCAGGCGGGCTCCAGGGGTGCTGAAGTGACCTTGGAGGCAGGAGGCGCGGAGCTGGAACCGGTCCAGGCTCCGGAGAAAGGTAAGACCCTTTGGGAGCCTGCCCCCGTGCAACCGCGGGGCGCGGGGCGGGTGGAAAACGCACGTGGTCCGCTCCGGTGTGGCCCGCACGCGGGGTATCCTTGCTGGGGCGGGGGACTTCAGGCGCCGCCTCGGGCATGGGGGAGGTGCAAAAAGCATCTTAGGGGCTGTGATGTAGAGGGGCGGCCGGAGGCGAAGGCCGGAGAGTGTAGCGCCCTCTGACGTCCAGGCCCCCCTTGCCCCGTTGCAGCTGCTTAACAGGCGGCTGAGCTCCACACCCAGCAGGTATGTGGGAGACTCTCCCCTGCTGGCCCCAGCGAAATAATGCGCTGTCCACATTCTCCCCCCTGCCCCCGCGCAGGTGTGGGGATGAACCGTGCCCCGGGCAGCCCCTTTCGCCCCTCTCGGGCCCCCTTTGTGTACCGTGCTTTGTGTCTCCGACAGACAGACCGGGTCTGTTTCTCTTCTTCGCGCTCCCCTCCCCCGCCCCCCTTCTTCCCCGGCAGCTGGAATGCACTCTTAACCCTGCCTTTCCCGGAGGGTCTGCGCCCCTGCAGCCTGCCTGGAAACTGCGTCTGGCACACCTGGGTCGGGGCCATCACGCACTGGGAACACCCCCTCGCCTCCGGTGTCTTGGGACTGGATTGTTAGGGCACTTGGGATAGTGGGGGTCCCAAGCCGGAAGGTCTTGAGCTGAGGGGGCGGTGTATGGGAGATCAAAGCACATTTTTGATCTCCCAAGTACTTGTTTACCCCTCTTTAGTTCAAAAACTTGAGAGTGGGGGTGGGGACCACTTTGGTGCGGAGAGCCACTGTGTTCTGAGACCCAGGCAGCTGCAGCTGACGGGGGCCTCTTTCCTTCCACGGGGAGGGGGAGGGAGCTTGCTCCTCCGCCGGACCAACCCCAAGTTCTGAAACAGAGGTGTAGCTCTGGATCCTTGAGTGGGGTTCCAGAGGATTCTTAACCTGTAAAATTGTTTAAGAACTGTTGTATACGATTTTCCTTAGAAGGAGATCTACAGTTTACTTGGCTTTCAAAACAATTAAGAAACGTTGCCACGTAGCATTTTTCTCACCCCCCGTTTGCATACCCCTCACCCCAGGTACAAATTCCCACAGCTTGAACGTGAGGTGTGAGGTGCTGATGGCGGGGGACACACACACACGCACACACAGAACGGCTCTCCTTTGTTTCTCCAAAAGAGAGTTGGAGGCCATAAGTCTGTGGAAGCGTGTGTGTGTGTGTGTGTGTGTCTCCGTGTCTCCGTGTCCCCGCCCCCCCCCCCCCCAGCTTTTCCCAAATAACTCTGCAGATTGACAAACAATTAACACTCAGGCTAAGCCAGGCTCCTTAAACTCTTGGCTGTAGGGAGCAGAGGAGAGGCATTAAGAGGCCATGCCTCATAAACTTTAAATTCTTGTGCATGGGTTTATTACTTACTGCCTAACAAACTGCAACTCAGCCAACCTGTAAAAAATGTTAACTTGGGCAGGGCCCCAAATCCAATTCCGGCTCCCTGAGGAAGCCTTACTGCTAACCAGAGTGCTGCCAGATCTGTACCCCCTCCCCCTCATTGTCAAGTTCTTTGACTGCATTCTTGGAAAGCAAGCTATGGCTCTGAGTGTTGTCTGCCTTATCTTTCTTACCGAAGCTGGAAATATCAGATCAACTGTCACTTCACTAAGCTTGAGGTTGTTGGGAGGAAGCAGTGATCAGGTTTTCGATTTCATGCTCCGGTTGGTGAGTGCTTTCCAGTGACATGAGGCATTTTAAATCTTGAGAAAATTCCACTTTCTCAGATGTGTGGTTTATGATTGTGAAAATGGTGCATTTATACCAGGAGCACACCTGGGTTATAAAACAAAGGGTGGGTTCATGTGCTTGGCTAACTTTGCACCTCCCGGCAACATGACTAATTCTTAGAGCAGTCTTCCTATGAGATAGACTGCAGCCTTTTTTAAGTGAAAGCAAGTTTCTGGACCTGGTTGGTCCCGTAAATGAGGATGGCGCAATAAAAAATACTGGTATATCTTCCCTTACATGTCAGCTGCTGACCTCCTTCTCCCTCCTACCTCCACTCCAGCTCCCCATCCTCAATACACAGGATGGACCCAGCCCTGTGGCAAGGGGTATCCTGAGGGGACATACAAATTCTTGTGTTTCCATATTGCCAAGGAACAGCCGCCCCTGTTGTTCTCCCTTGGGTTATGAATATCACAGGTGTCTATGAAGTTGAGCCCAAAGAAATTATCTGATATAATTAATACCTTGTTTGCATGTGCATTTTCTTCTTCAAAGCATTTGTACAATTCTGAGCTTGCTTAATCCTCCTGCCGTTCTCTTGACACTGGTAAGGTAAATATTAAACAACTTCAGCTCTTAATCTGAGTTGGGACTTCAGAAAACTTGTAGCCCAGCCCTGCTGGAGGTTTTAAAGGTAGAGAAATGGAGGAACAGCTTAATGGAGTCAATTTGCTTAGCTTAACAGCCTGTGAGCTTCCTTGATCATCACAGACATGAGTTTTACCTGAAGGTTTATGCCTAGGATCTGGTACTTAATAGGATGCCCAGTGGGTATTTGCATGAATCATGACAATCTTGTGAAGGGTCTGCCCATTTTACATGAAACCTGAGTGGTTATGCTTCACTCATCACTGCTGGCACTTGAATGGAAGTTTGTTACTCCTGAATCCCCTAGCATTTTTTTACTACCAGAAAGTGGGAGGTCGATGAAATGGAGGTACTCGCCTTCTCCCTTTCTTCCCCCGTCTAAAATTTTTAAACAAACAAAAAAAGTAAGTGACCTAGCCCTGGCAGGGTGGCTTGGTTGGTTGGAATGTAGTCCTGTGCACCAAAAGGTTGCTGGTTTGATTCTGGTTAGGGTACATACCTAGATTGCAGGTTCTATCCTTGGTCTGGGCACATACAGGAGGCAGCCTGCTGAGGTTTCTCTCTCCCCCCGCCCTCCTTCCTTTCCTTTCCCTCCAAAAATCAATAAGCTTATCCTCAGCTGAGGATTAAAAAAAAGTGACCTAAAGTGGTCTATACATCCTTAATGGTGAACAGTTGAGAGAGGCAGCTTAATTATAGTACAAGAAATCCAGTACTTCTATGGTCTCACAGCAGGTTCACCTCACCCTTAGTCAGCATTTGGCTAACTTCAAAGTTCAGTACATGAGTTACCTTCAAGATAGTTTTGCTTATTTCAACTTGAATAAAAATTGCCTTTTGTTTTGGAGCCCCCATTCTGGGCTATACCCTTTACTTACATTTTATTCTTTCAGTAAACATATATTTAGCATCTGCATATATCAGGCACTGTTGTAGAACTGCAGCTAAAGCAATGAACAAAACTAAATTCCTGCCCCTGGGGTACTTACCATCTAATATTAGTTATTTTGTTCCTATGGCTGACTGCCTTGCGATGCAGGTGATGGTATTTTCCCCTTAGCTATAAGATGGGGAAGTCGCTGGGGAAGTCAGCAGTAAGGCCAGGATTTAAACTCAGAGGGATTCCGTAATGCCTGATAAATCTGCCTCTGAAGGCCTGGCTGTGTAGTTCAGTTAGTTGATTTGAGTGTCGTGCCTATAAACCAAGGTTGCAGCTTTGATCTCCAGTCAGGGCTCATACAAGAATCAGCTAGTGGGTGCATAAGTAATAAGTGGGACAACAAATTGATGTCTCTCTCCCCGCCCTCCTCTCTCTCTCAAAATCAATAATTAATAGATAAACTTAAAAAAAAAATAAAATCTGCCTCAGAAGAATGAATATTCGGGAATTGAGGCTTCAAGCCTGGCTGGCTTCCTTTCTGGCTCAGCAGTGGAGTAGTTAGTTGCCGAAGACTGTTGTATACATCACTGTTAGGTTGTGCCTGGGGAGCAGGTCTCAAATCTCTAGACTACCTTCCTACCTCCTCACAAGACACTGTTCCTAGGTTACCCGGTGCAGAGTGCCCACACCTCTGCTTTGTGAGGAAGGCATGGCTTACGATGAGCAATGAGTTTCTAAGGCTAGAAAACCAGCTCTGCAAAGCATTTGGAGAGAGATGGAGAATGAGGGAGAGAAGGGCCTCCCCTCGCCAAATCAGTTGAGTCTTTAATTCTGAGACTGAAATGTCTCCATTCAGAAAACCACCAAGTGGAGGAAAGTGCCCAAATAAGTGTACAGCTTGATGGACATCACTGAAAACATCCATGTACGTAGCATACAAATCAAGGAACAGCATTATTGCCTTGGGTGGTGCAGCCCAATTGGTTGGAGTGTTGTTTCGTACACCGAAAGGTTGGGGGTTTGATTCTTAGGGCACATACCTAGATTGTGGTTTCAGTCCCTGGTCAGGGTGCTTATGGGAGACAACTGATCGATATTTCTATCTCACATCAGTGTTTCTCTCTCCGTTCCTTTCTCTCTAAAAAATATCAACAAACATATTAAAAGAAAAACATCATTACTAGCACCTCAGATGTCCTGTCCTTCTCGGTCTCTGCTTTCCTCCCAAGAAAACTACTACCCTGATACTAATACCATGATTTAATTTGCCTTTATTTGAACTTCATGTAAAAGAATCATTGAGGATATTGTCTCGGAGCTGGCTTCTTTACTGCATATGTGAAACCCTTGCGTAGTTCTGGATGTAGTTGTAGTTGGTTCTCGTTGTCATATTTAGTCATTATGTGACTCCATAATTCTGCTGACGGGCATTTGAGGAGTTACCATTTTGGGGCTCTAATGACTAGTGCTACTGTGAACACTATTGTTCAAGTCTTTTAGTGAAACTGTATACAGGATCTGTTAGGTACATACCTGGGAGCATAATTGCTGGGTTAGTGGAAGCTCTCAGTACTGTGACCGTGTGTTGGGAAGTCAGCTTTTCTCTGTCTTGAAGTAGCTGAGTGTCTTCTGGATTCAGCCACCCTCCCTGCAATAGTCTCCTTACCAGAACCGCCCCTTCTGGATTCTAGCTTCTCATTTGGCTCTACGCTAAGACACAAGTCTTTAC